AAATAAAATAAAGTTTAAAACACCTAAACAATTACATGCTACACACGGATCTACAACTTACATTGACTTGTTACAAAGGCCTATAGCTGAAGGGACAAAAGAATTTTTATGTCTATTTGTCTTGCATTTAGGTAAACTGAATCTGCGGCCCGACGGCAATAAGATGAAACAACTGTTCAAGGGGTGACTAGGGTCGGCCAATATCGCTTGTGCCTTCTTAAGGGTCCTTGTCTCGTATATGACTTTTATATCGGACAAATGGTTATTGGAAATTTTGCCACACACTTTCACTAAATATTGTAGCCTATTTCTATTTTTAAGTGTGATGGACCCGAACCAGCTCACAAGAGCAAAAGAAAGGATAGATTCAATAAAGCAACAATAAAACATCCTCATAAAAGTGTTATCGACATTAAAATTGCGAAGTTTACGATAAAAAAACATACGTTGATGTGATTTCTTACAGATGGCGTCAACCTGTGGCTCAAAAGTGAGTTTGTCATCAATGATAATGCCTAGGTATTTATATTGTTTCACCACTTCTATAGTTTGGTCATTAATAAGAGTAGAAGAGACGGCGTGAGAATTTGTGCTAAAATCAATCAGCATTTCTTTAGTTTTTGTTTCATTAATCTTAATGAAAGACGATTTACACCACTCTGTAAAATCATTTAAAATAGCACCATGCTCAGGGTCGTTATGCGTCAGCAATGACACTATTACCGAGTCGTCGGCAAACTTAATGATATGACGCCCAGTATGCCGGCTTTGGCAAGCGTTTGTGTATAAAATAAATAGGATCGCGGAGAGGACGCAGCCCTGAGGGGAGCCGGAGGAAGAAAGGAGAACATCAGATAGCATACCATTCACTCTTACTCGTTGAGACCTATTAGTTAAGAAATTCATCAACCAACAAATAAGACAGGGATCTATATTAAATGTACCTTTCAGAATCCCTGCTAAAATATGTGGTTGGATACAATTAAAAGCTGAAGAGAAGTCGATAAAAACCAGCCGCACAAAACTCTTTGCATTCTCGAGATGGGTATGAATTAAATTCAAGAGAGTACAGACAGCATCTTCCACACCCCGGTTCGGCCTATAGGCAAATTGAAACGGATCTAGTAGATCTTGGACAGATTTTAAAAGTTCGTCTTTCACGATCTTCTCCAATGTTTTCATAATGAGTGACGTTAACGCCACAGGCCTGAAGTCATTAAGGGACACTGGAGATTTGATTTTAGGCACCGGAACAATAATTGAGTCTTTCCAAATGCGAGGAACAGTGTGATGATGCAAAGACATTCTAAAAATAAAACAAAAAATGTCTACGAGCTGTTCAGCACAGTTCTTCAATATACGGCCACCAATGCCATCAGAGCCGGGACTTTTCCTTTCATTTGTACCTCTAAAGAGTGACAGGACCTTGTTTCTGTCAATCTGGACTTTACACTGCCCGGGGGCAACGTTATTAAAAACTGACAGCTCCTCACTAAAATCATAAATATCAAAGCGATTATAAAAAGTGTTTAATTCATTAGACAGGGCAAGATCTGACATACCATTTATGGAAATCGGACCCTTCTTAGGCTGCATCCCCATCATGGCTTTCACGCCGTCCCATGCAGGACGTGAGTTGCCTGTGCTCAACATGTTCTCGACTTTGTTTTTATAATTACGTTTGGCCAGCTTAAGTTCCCTTTTAACTTGTTTTTGAAGTACTCTGTATTGAGACATATCGCCTTGGTTAAAGCTAATGTTTCGTTGATTGATTATGCTTTTGACAGATTTAGAAACCCATGGTTTATTATTTGGGTATATGAAGATGGATTTACGAGGGATGGCTATGTCCTCGCAAAAGGTAATGTATGCAGAAACAGTCTCTGTGAGCTCATCAATGTCCGTACATTCATTTTTAAATAGATCCCAGTCAGTGCAGCTGTAGCATTCCTGTAGACACTGAATTGAATCCTCTGACCAAACCGGAACCAATTTTCGTTCCGGCTTGTTTCTCTTCAGTACCGGTTTGTAGGACGGAACCAAATAAACGGAGTTATGGTCAGACGTACCGAGCGGAGCTCTGCTGTAGGATTTATAAGCGCCTTTGACAGATCCATAACAGAGGTCCAGGCTTCTGGACCGTCGGGTTGCGCAAGTGACATATTGATAAAAGTTACACAGGGACTTCCCTGGTTTACAATTGTTAAAATCGCCCATAATAAAGTTTGGTGCTTCAGGTGAAATCCCCTGAAGCCGCTGCACACAATTAACTATAGCTCGAGTTGCTAGATCCGCATTAGCCCTCGGGTGAATGTAGACAAGTGTCACAAATATCTGTGGAAACTCCCTGGGCAGGTAAAAGGGGCGTAGAGACACCGACAGAAGTTCAATATCAGAAGTACACAGTGTTTCTCTGACAATAACCGTATTGCACCATTTTTTGTTTATGTAAAGACATAAGCCTCCACCAAGTGATTTTCCCGTCACTGTGGAGTCTCTGTCAAGACGGACAGGTTCCCCAAACCCGTCACACTCGAGATCAGAGAGTGGATCCTGTTCCTTGAGCCACGTCTCTGTCAAGGCGATGAGACAGGTGTTTCTATATTCCGAGAGGAACTTTACTTTTGCCTGGAGCTCGTCCACTTTATTACGAAGGGACTGGACGTTTGCGAGGATGATTGAAGGAAGAGGTATCCGGCGATAGCCTTGTCGCTTCAGTCTCTGCCGTACACCACCGCGTCTCCCCCTTTTCCTCACTCCTGTCCTGGGTGCCCCACTCTGGTTCATTGCGTGGGGGGCGGCTGCCGACTGGATGATCTCTGATGGAAAAGCCGCCGAGGGGTCCACGATGCCCGTATCAGAGTTGCGCAGGAACAGGAGAAACTCGCGGGTGTATTGGAGGGACTCGTGTTCACATAGTACTCCCAAAAGTTTACAGAACAGCGTCAGGAGGATGAAACAGCCCGTCAAACTTAGGTGAGTCATTATTATCACCGTCGCACGCAGATCACTAAAAACAACTTTAAATATAAAACTAAAACTGATTAAACGTTAAAAACAACGCTCTCACTCTGCACACACTCTGCACACACTACTGCTGCCTGTCGCCATTACAGCGCCACTGACTGTAGAGAGATTGCTGAGAGACATTACAAAAGAGGTTATGATCAGACAAGAGCTTTGAGGACCAGTTAGAAGAGAGTGAGAAGGCCTGAAAACTGACGCAGAGGTTGTGTTGTTTCTGTTCCAGATCATTGGTTTCCCTATGTTTCACAGAGCCAAGATATGCTTTCTATGTAAGGTTAGCTTGTAAGGACGGTTTTGAGTGTCATTGTTTGTCTGCAGCTGCTATGCTGCTGGTGACTAACAACAAAGTCTTGCTGTTGTGTACAGTTCATTTTTTTTTTACCTTGTCGTTTGTACTTCATCTGCGTTTTTTCAAGCATTATTTTCCTCCGTTCAGCTATGAGAAAGAGACATCCACTCTTGCATTGTGTGTTTGTGCATTTTGGGGGTGAAGAAAGGAAGGGCGGAGTGTGTTTGTTTGGGTTGATTTCAGATATCAACAGTGTTTCTCAGAAATCTCTTAAAGGGTTGGTTAGTTCACCCAAAATTGAAAATTCTGTCAGTATTTACTCACCCTCATGTTGTTCCAAACCTCTATGTGTTTATTTGTACTGCTGAACACAAAGTAAAATATTTGGAAGAGTGTTTTAATCAAACAGATCTCATTCCCCATTGACTACCATAGTATGTATTTTTTCCTACTGTAGTCAATGGGGAATGAGATCTGTTTGATTAAAACACTCTTCCAAATATCTTCCTTTGTGTTCAGCAGAACAAATAAACCCATAGAGGTTTGGAACAACATGAGGGTGAGTAAATACTGACAGAATTTTCATTTTTGGGTGAACTAACCCTTTAATGCATGTTTAAGTTTGTGCGTTGTTTAAAGAAAGCATGAATAGATACTTGATAAATTGAAGAAAAATTGTCTAGACTGAAATGTTTTCCCTTGAGGTAATCTGTTCGCAAAACAGATGTGAATCCTGGAATGCACCACTGTAAAATAATCCTTGACTGGGCATTAAGATATGGCGCTCCTGGGGTGGAGATGACTGGACTTCATAAAGACACTGCTGCTGTCACTCAGATACACTTCCTCTATGGACAGGTAAGATCATGTTTTAAACCTGTACTCATACTCTTAAGGTGCACATGTTCACATAGCTTGGTCCTGGGGTGTTTTATTGAAAATATTTTTATTTTTAATAAAATTATAAAAATTATTTTATTTTTAACGGTCAATAAGCCTCTCACTCTCTCTCATTCTCTTTCTCTCTCTAGGGAAGGTTACTTTCTCTTTTGGATGATAACACCATTCACCTATGGGAGATTGTTCAGAGAGAAAACCGCTCACATTTGATAGAGGTTCACAGCTTCAATCTACCTGGCAGGCCAGGCATTGAGAGCACCAGGTAAGGTTTTGTTCTTTTCTTTCATTTACTTTCCTTTTTTTTAAACTCACCAAATTTGTCCAATCTTCTCCAAATGATGACCTTGAGGTTGCATGGTTCTCCTCTGTAGTGCGACACGTGTGACCGTCATGCTGTTGAAGCTGGGCTGTGATCTTCTTGCTCTGGGCACTGAAGGTGGTGGGGTACACTTTCTGGAACTGCCCACCCTCACGTTGCTGAACAAGTCGCTGTTCCAGGACGAGGTCATGCAGAGGTGAGAGCTGCACTTCCAGTATCCAAATCTACCATGCCACATTATCAGGTCACCCAAATGTTACCTCTTTACTAGTTGCCTGACTACCTGTATGTAGCTGCATTTTAGTAAGTGTTTTTGGAAATGTTCTTGAAAGAAGTTTCTTGTGCTCACCGTGGCTGTATTTATTTGATCAAAATCAAGTTCTCTTCCAAGCTTCACCCAGGGTTTAGGGTTTTAGGGCTAGTTGCACGTAATTGTCCTTGATACATAGTTACGAATAGTAACTATAACCTCTTATCAAGCACCGGCCCGATGACGGGCCGTCGAGGGCGTGGCTAAACTTTTATCACTTTTTTAAGCTTTGTTTTATAACAAATATTCAACTGACTATCATAAACTATGCATCATTTGAAAGCTAAAACACTCCAGAATCATGTTCTAAACTTGTTTTTGCAATCAATACAACAGAGAGGAAAGGGTTAAATTAAATGCAAAAGGACCTCTCATTTGAAAATGAGTAAAATGAACCGCTATACTCATCTTTCATCTCGTATGGTTCAGATCAGTTCGGACGAATCCAAGAAACAACAGCATACATTTCAATGTAAGGGTCCATTCTTCAAAATGCATCCCACTTTTTAATCCAAAACAACGAAAAAATAGGGGAAAAAATGAAATATCCTCCTTTGTTTGCATGAGCGTTTTCGAGATAGAGTTCGCGTCATGTTTATTTTCAAAAAAATATCGATTCTTATCTATTTTCCAACACTCGAACGCCATCTCACCCCTGTAGTTTAGACTCTTCCGGATAAAATGAGTCATCCCCCTTCTCTCTCCTTCAATCACAGGCTCTGTAATCGATCAAAATGCCAAGGGACCGCCTGACTGGCTTAGAAACCTGTCAATCTCGCATCTCGGTTTTTGGCTGGATAAAGTCTGGATATAGCCAGCCAATGTGTAATCGGCAATGTTTTGATGGATGGGAGTATTGACCAATTAAAACACGATTGCAGTGATTGACAGTTCTCAAGCAGATTTGTCAAACACAAGTGCGCAATGTTGTTATTCGCTCGTGCACTTTCGCCATTTTACGCACGGAGCGCATAGGCTAGGTATTGGTTCGCTACACGGAGCTCGTATCAACTCATAGATTTTCTCCAAAGTTATATTTGACAATCTCCATCATGGATCATCGTCTACAGAAGCGTTTTTGTGGTGTTGAGAGTATTTTGGAGGAAGTGTTGAGAAGCAGCGACGAAGAGCAAAGACGCAGAGAGATGCATCTGAAGTGAACACGGTGTCGAGCGTCTGTCGAGAGGAGATGTTGTTCATGGACTCGATCCCGTTTTAGATCGGTAAGTTTCAACACATTGTCATTTATAGTTATGATTATTATTGGCAGTTTTTCTGTTCATGTAATGTTTTTGATTATAAAATGACGATGGACAAGCTAAGTTACTAGCAAAGACACAAGGCTACACGAGCAGCTGATAGAGCTGTAACGTTATATTATAACGATACATAAAGAGAAAATATTTTTATCACACACATTATATTTATGTTGCATTGAATATAACAATAATGGAAGGAAAGGATTATAAGAAGTCAGGTGAAGATGTGTTGATTATAAAATAACAGTGGAGATAACTAGCAAGATATGAGATTACAGTGATACGTTTATATGAATGAATGGTGCATTGAATATAAATATAATGGAAGGAAAGGATTACAAGATGTCAGGTGAAGATATAATAAATATATATATAATTTTATACATAGAAAAAATAATAATTACAAAGCATTTTTATTGTTGAGCATTATAACGATAAGGTATGTGATATTTGATATTGTAATATGATGGAATATTGATGCTGCTAATAGATGAATGTGACTCAAACTGAAATCCTCTTTTGTGTGTGTGTTTTCCTGTGCAAATTTTATTTGTTCTGCTTACACACTTTATTTCTCCTGTCTTTCAGTGGCTTTGGTTTCCAGAACAAACCTTGGTGGTGACTGCCTTGATCAACATGTCTTCCTACACTTTGTAAATACTGTAAGCGTTTGCTTTTTGTTTTTGTAATTGGATATTCATTGTAATTGTTTATTGTAACTTATTTGAGTAAAAAACACTGTTGCAATTACAAATGTTATTTTTTTCTTTTTATATATTTTATTCATTAGTAAAACAATCACTTTTGGAACATATAAATGAAGTGAGTTTTTTTTCACTGTTTTTGCTATTATAAATGTTCAAAATAAAGAGTATTTTGTTAAAATGTTAAAATGTTGTGCTGAAATAATTTTTTTTTGTGTATTTTGATGGGCAGAATAGTTCTGAATGGATAAACATGTATGTAGTATGTAGTGTTTACTCCTTATGTCATTTGGTAACCAGGTATCCATTTGGAGTCTCCAAGTGGCCTTTTGGAAAGGACGCCTAGACTTTTCTTGAATAAAAGCTTACAGGAACTACATTTTTGGGAGTATCTTCCTCAAATTTGAATCAAAACATGGTCAGACATTCAGTTTTATCTTTATGGTGTTTTCAAGGCCTTAACATAAAATTCTGATACATTTTTCCCTAAATGAAGTTTATTCAAAGAAATCGTGAATCAATGTCATGTATATTTAACCTTGTTTTACTCTGTTCCTATGCTACTTTGAGTTATAATGACTCTTGGGTAACAAAGTTTCAAGTGTCTAGTTTAAAAAAATATCAGAGTTATGAATGTGGACCATAGGGTTCAAGAGCTACAAAGATTTGTATTTGGGTATGTCGTTTTCAGAAAATTCTCAAAAATAGGGGCGCTGGTTAAGAGGATAAATTATGCGTACTATAAAATATTGTTGCCTGCCTGCATATGGTCTTCGTTGGCTGCCTGCAAACAACGTCTACTATGACCCACTCTTCAACACTAGTTGTAGTGGAGGTCTGGAAGAGATTTGTTGTCGACTTTTTTTTTTTTTTTTGTGCTGCAACTCCACTTTGAATAAACTTCCAAAGTATGAGGACTCTCGCTGCAATTGATGTGAAAAAACTGACACCATTGTTACTATTTTCATCACTGTGTACTGTATACATGTGCTGAGGAAGCCTCCGGAGCATAGCTGTCAACAGTGAACATTGAAAATAAGGAAGATTTCCTGGAATCCATCCCCAAAATAAGGATTTTTTTTCACAATTCTTGCCCACAAACTTTAAAAATAAAGCACTAGTCATTAAAAGTCTAATGGAGATATTCTGACAAGTGCTTTAAGTGTTAGACCAATCACAACAGACTTGGCCATCTGACCAATCAGAGCAGAGTGGACTCTTGGAAAGTCGGGCTTTAGGGAGACTGAATCTTCGAACGAACCGTTCTTAAACTTTTTGAGAAATGTGCAATGTATATTATGAGAAAATGATGCGTTTTTGACCTTGGATGCATTTAAACCTATTGGAGGAGACCTCCAAAACAAAATAAAGAACCTTTAAAATAGCATAATATGGGTACTTTACATTTTTGTTGAAACTGTAATGCATTTTCTTAATGATACTTTGGGTAGAAAGTTCAAAAGAACGGCATTTATTTGAAATAGAAATCGTTCGTAACATTATAAATTTCACTTTTGATCAATTTTGTGTCCTTGCTAAAGTATTAACCCTAACCCTCTCTACAACCACTCTCAAAAATATTTTCTGAATGTCTCTCAAGGGACAAGGTTTTTTTTTCCTGTGAATCAGGATATGAAGAGTTCAGATGCAAAAGCCTCTAAGTGCCATTTGAAATTTTCTTCTAAAATGATCATTTTTATCAAGCTTGTATATTTAAGTTCAGTAATTTCACTTAAATGGCAATGAAGATTACCTATTAATTGTCATTTAAGTGAAATTACTGAACTTAAATATGCAAGCTTGATAAAAATGGTCATTTTAGAAGAAAATTTTAAATGGCATTTAGAGGCTTTTGCATCTGAACTCCTCATATCCACACTGGACTCTAATAAATATGGTAGAGCAGAAAGATTCTACACGATAACCTCATAAAATAAGCATTTGGGAAACTCTCACCCCATGGGTTAATGAAGGAGCAGCAAGACTTTTTGTTTATTTTCCTCCCCTCCCCTTTAGCCCTTATCCAATCTGCCTTTGTCGCACTTCTCAAACACACTTTGAACAGGGAACAGCTCAAACTTCCTGATTCACCCAAGGCTGTTTGGCCTTTTACGCTCCCAGCTGTGGCTGTCTGTTTCTCTGTCAGTAGGTTATGCAGCTTGAGCTTTCCCACTGCCAAGGCACTGACTTCACATGGCCTCTGTTAGGAGTTTGGAGTTGATCTCTGCAATCTGATGAGATACAGTATTTATTCCTCTGCTATTCAGTTGTCATTGTAAGCATATTTATAAATATTTAATACATCAATCTTTAAGAAGAAACCCATTTTTCCTAATTGCTGTAATTGTGACTGTTACAAGGCAGGAAATCACACTAGCTATTCATCTTACTCTTTAAAGACGTTGTTTAACTCTGAGATAAATTACAGCTTTTCCAGTGTGCCCTGTTGCAGATATAGCCTGGGTGGCTAAATGTGGACCTCATCTGCCTCTGAGAGACCTTGAACTGCTCATTACCAGTGGCTCAGATAGGATGCCCATTACTCCAAATTGTGCAGAGTTAATAAGTATGTGTCAGCCAGGAAACTACTGAACAAAATGCTTTTGTACCAAGTGCCAAATATCTTGGGCCCTATTCAAAGAGGCATTTAAAATGGAGGATATGAGCTTTGCACACTCATCTTTGAGAATCAGCAGGATTCAGAATGCCAGAGTATACTCTGCATCTTAGTAGAAAACATTGTGGTTTTTGGTGATTTGTTTTTCTTTAAGGCATGTGGGACACCTAGACTGACATGTATTTGAGTTAATGAGTTTAATGTCTTCAGAATACTTATTTAATTCATGAATATCATGAATAATTGGGGATATTATGGAAAGATCATTTAAAAAAAAATCTGATTTATTGGTCAAAATGTATAGGAACATTTGTTAAATGTTTAGTTCACTCAAAAAAAAAAACAAAAAAAAAAAAAACCCAGTTGTCATCTGTTACACACCCTCATGTTTTTCCAAACCCTGAAGAATTTTGTTCATCTTCAAAAAAAAAAAAAATCCCTCTGTCCCTCCATAGACGACTACACAACTACCACTTTGACGCTTCATAGTTCATAAAGAGAATGTAAAACTTATTCATGTGAATTGAGCGGTTTAGTTACAATTTTTCAGAAGAGACGACACGATAACTTTATATGATGAACAGATTGAATTTAGGCTTTTATTCACAAACATATTGATCAGTGAACATAAACAGAAGCTGCACCATACTTGCATAACACACGAGATTGACGAGAATGAACCTCATTGGCAAACATGCTTGAGTCTCAGTTTACCACAACTGATGCGTGAGGTTATGAATGTTTATATGTGAATACAAGCTTAAATTAAATGGATTTTGTTATCGATTCATAAAAGGCAGAAGTCTCTCAGGTTTCATTAAAATATCTTCATTTGTGTTTTGGAGGTGAGTGAAAGTCTTACAGGTTTGGAATGACATGAGGGTCACTGAATGGAAGAACTTTAATTTTAGAGTGAACTAATCCTTTAACTTATTAGATTTTATTTGAAACATACATACTTGTGCTACACATTTTAATTTTTTATACAATTATGAAATAAACTGTCAAATTAAATGGGAGATCTTGCAATTTTAACAATCTATATCTCAGAGCAATAATGTAATTTCAGCGTTGCCATACAAATTTGTGGTATAACTTTCAAGAAACTGCAAATCTGGCTTTCTATTTCTTAAATTTTCTTGGAAAAGCCTTTGTTG